TCAGTTGACTTCATATTGCTTCGGTAAACTTGTATTTACTTCATCTTACTGATGAAGGCCATGCAGTATTTCTCTTTTTCTCCTGTATTCTCCACAAACTGCTTAAGGCATCACAGCATTTTCTCAGCGTTTATGAGGCTGGAGACACAGCTGAAGCTCGATTTGTGTAACAGCACAGTGGTGTTTCACATTTGATCAGTACCTAGTTGAATCCAGAAAGATCTGGAGAAGGCAAAGACCAAAGTCCCGGTCTGATGTTTTAGTCACATTTCACCTTGTTTTTTGTCCAGGTATTATCTATCTTCTGTGAGACATCTGAAGCCCTGTGGAGACTCTCTCCCTCAAGCTGAGGACAGGTGAATTAGGGCCAGCTGCACCTGACTTCTTACCACCAGCAGACAAAGCTTCCAGGTCCCCAGGTACGAGCAGCTCCATTTGTTTTCATCAGCACAAGCCTCCTTCACTTGGGTTTGCCTGAGGAGAGTGTTCGCCCTTTACCGCTCAGCCTAATTACTGACTCACACTAATGGCTCATTACTGATTCAAATTGCTCAGTCTGTTGGCTGCATAACTGGGCCATTAGTATTTTCTAGAGGTAAGACTCTTGGAAAACTGCATGAAAAAAACCACAGAAAGGGCCAACTTGCCCACAATTGCAGCCCAGAATTTTCCTGCCAACAAAGCCTGCCTTTAAACTGATTTCTGACAGTTAAACCCACAAAAAGGAACCCAATTCTACATGTTTAATTGGTAGGAATTTTAAGTTGCTCATCTTAGGTTTCGCAAACTGCTTCAGTGTTTTCTTGTAGGCTGCAAAACTCATTAAGGAAAGCTTTTTGCAGCTCCATACAAGGGTCATGTCTACAGGTAAGATAGTAAGTGTACAACAAACTCAACCTGGGCTTTGCTTTCTGCAGGGCCATCAGAGCTTACATTTCATCAGCAACTGTTCAGGGAATAGCAGATACTATTGGCAGCTTTTGCAGTAGGGAAACAAGACATGTCAAGACAAGCCTGGAAGTTTTTTGCACCGCTAAAGACTTTATTAAATAAAAGAGGGGTTCATACCACTCAAGACTCTTCATGACTGACATTGAAGGGTACTCCAGCCCAAATTTACCCTGCAGTTACATCATCCTAAATCCCAGATTACTGAACCAACCATCTTTTTTCAGTTCCTTCATTCAGTTGGTTTATAAGTGGTATCATACTGTGTCCAGAAGAGTAAACTACCCCTAATGAATCAGTATCCCCACTTCAATATATCTTCTCTTCATTCACTTTTAATTCACTCTGTTTCCAGTTTTAAGAAGGAAGACCAAGTGACTTTACAGAGATAACCAGTTACATGGCTGTTTTTTTAACATCCTTCTGTTTCTTAACCAGACTACTTTTAAAACCTTCTTGGTGACTGTAGAAGACACTACTCCTGATTGCAATATGCTAAATCTGAGCTAAAGGCCCAACACTTCCCAGATAAAGAAAATAAAACTCTGTTTCATGTTTACTTCTTTTGTCTCAAAGTATGGCACAATTTCCCTTTGGCTGGAAAGGAATGTTCTGCATTCTTTAGGCAGGGAAGAAATCCAGTTATGTTAGCTCCAAGGATGCCTTTCACTGCTTCTTAAAACATTAAAAAATGTTCTAGTGGGAAACACTGGGGAGATCCAGACCTCTAAAGGACAGCATGCACTTTCCAAGTGTCTCAGGACCTTCAAACTAAGCAGCAACTGGAGCCAATTAATCCAAGAAGCTCCTTATCCAAAAGAACTGTACAAAAAGCAGCAGAAATCTGCAGGTTCTGGATATCCTAATCTCACAGAAGGGTAATTAGACTCCTTGGCGAAGTTCTTGGGAACTTGTTCTTCACTTGTGGGACAAATTCAGCATTAAAAGGACAGTGGTAAGTGTCTGAGCTGCAAAGTCACAAAGCAAGCATGCCCTGGAGGGCCTGGGTTTCTATTCCACCTCATGCAAACATGCCTCCATCTCCCCAGGCCCAGGTCTGCTCTGCCTTCCAGCAACTGAACGCTGATCATACACAGAACAAATCAATATGGCCTATTTTAAAGTTTTAAGTTTGGTGCCAATTTAATTTTATTTCAATTACCTTATGGGACAAATTCTATGACTAACTGGCCTTGCATCATAGAGCAATAGCAGCAATGTTAATATGAATAACCAGAGAATGGAATTTAAAAATAAGAAGTATCTCTTGCCAGCATGCTTGCTGGTTCTCTGCAGAAAAGCTCCACAGAACCACTTCTGGAACTACACGCCAAGCCACATGAACATAAAGGCATTTTGTTTTCTTCTCATCAGTAGTGAGAGAACCTGTGAGCAGAATCATGTTACCTCACATCTTCTGGTACTGCAACATACCTACTGAGGCCCAGAAATCAGAGCTAAACAGGAAGGGAAAGAGGACAAAATATCCAGAGAAAGAGTTATTACCAATAACCAGCCTTTTTCTCCTTCCAACATTAATTTGCCTCTTCTAAAGGAGAGCTAATATGCTAGTAAAGTCTGCATTTATTACCCAGCAGCATACGCCTACCCATCCACTGCTTCCAAGGCAGAGCAGCCTCCACCCTTTTGCCCTGAAGACTTGAAAGGCACGAAGTTTATTAGCTCATATTTTACATTCCTTTATGAATGAGAAAAAAGTAATCACTTTTGAGAGTCTTAGCTATTCTTTGTCTTCCTCAGAGTACCTATTCTGTGCCAGATATGCTCTTTGATTATAAGACCCTCACTCAGGGATGGAGAGAGGGAGGAGTCTGCTGTGCAATGGGAAAATTCCAAAAGCTCCCAAATCAGATGGCAGCTGCCCAAAGAAATATCAGAAGTTTCCAGGCTGTACAACAGAAAAGTCATCACTGACCCAGCTCCTGCTGGACCTCTCCTCATCCTGCCCTTTTTGCCACCTTGCAAAGGCAATCTTTGCAACGAGTGTCTGAGCACTCAGCTAGAACAGATGATTATGTGCATGCTGGTTTGCCATCAGTCTTCAGAGAAGCCAGACTTGCAGCAACCATCTTGCTTCAAGAAAGCCAAAGCCAGGCTGTTCTTGATTACAGCTTCCTTCCAACTGGATCTGATACTGGAATTTTGAATCAGGGTAGTTTAAAAGACAAGAAGAAACACTGATAAGAAGGACAAATTAATTTTTATATTAGTCATTTTCACCACTAGATGAAAAAGTAATGCTATGTCCATCAAATTTTAAACCAAATTATTACAGCTTCTAAAAGTCCTTTTGCTTTTAAAAGGCCCATCAAATAGCTGCTCATAAGTATTCTTCTAACATGATGGAATAGGGCCAGATTTGCTGATGTGTGGGTTTCTAGCAGACAGGAACAGATTCAGAGCTGCAGGAGACAAAGTTTACATGACTACTTGAACCATGCTGGCCCAAAGGGAAACATTTCCCCTTTGACAGCTATTGCACAGGAAGTTTCTACAGCCACATGACCAAGCATACCATAGGCAGCACCAATGAGAATCAATTTATATTATAAATTTTAAATTAATTCATACCATTTACAGTTTTCTTTTTGAATGTTCCAACCTCTGAGTTAATAAAGGGAGTGAAGAAGAAACAAGTTCAGATGTTTTCCCCTTTTGCTCCTGTTGCTCATGAGATCCAATGTCAGCTGCTTTCAATTCTAGAACAACAGACCAGGACTACCCAGGTAAAAAAACCTACAAATAACTCAAAAATAATGCAGATTTCAATAGTGGTTTGATTTGCTTGTACTTCAGGCTAGACTGGCAATGATTGCATTAACAGAATTATAACCATGTGTTCAGGTGCCAATTACACATTAATGCATAATTACAGGTTTAAAGAGACATATCCTTACCTAAAATAAGAAACAGGCTTCAGCATTCAGTCTAACTAAGTAGTTTTCCTTGGATATTTCTTCTCCTTACCTTTTCTTGAGCTATTATAATACAAGCAATAGGCCAGAGAGCAGATATGTTCAAAATACACCTCTACTCTGAACAGAGCAATCAAATCCCTATTAAGTACTTTCAGGACTTGCTTGACATTCCCAGGCATGGAAGATGTCCCTCAAATTAAAGTATTGGCAACAAAGTCAGTGTTTCCCTTGGTTTTGAAGCGTCAGGAAGAAGTTGTTTAGAGAGTTATCACTAAAAATCCTGCTTCGGTTATCAAAGCTTCTCCCAGGAAACAGCATTCATTATCACCACCAGCAGTGAGGATGCATTCAGCAGAGTTTTCCTGGTGTACAGAGACAAACTCAAAAGCTGACTCTCAACGGGGGCTAGAGGAGGAAAAGGCTGAAAATTAGGGTGTGGAAAAGGCCTAAAGACATATTTGACTGCTCCTTAATGTATACTTCAGTGGTCAATCCTTCCAAAACCATTTCAGCAAACCAGAGGACACAGGGAAGAGCTATGAATACTCACAGGAGAAGAACAATGACCCATCTAATGCCTTGCTCAGGAAAGACAAGGACTGAAGACAGGAGTTGAAGAAGAAGACTCAATTGCCTGTGAGGTTTCCAAGCACTGTTAAGGTTTAATCCAGCACTGCTCCAGTTGGCCAGAGGGTTTTATGCACTGTTAAAAAACTCCACCTTTCAATGCATACAAAGCCACAACCATGACACTGGCACTCCTGTTTCCTGGAGTACAAATCATAGAGAGCCTTCCTAATCTCATGGGATTTTACTGAGAAATGCTCAGTAGGTTACCTCAAGGTGAACAAGCAGAGGTTATTCTGGACCAGCCACTTTGGGAAGCTCAGCTTTCTTGCACTTCAACTCAGCTGAGAAGCACAGAGCAGAGCACACCTTTTCCTAGGAAGCAGAGCAGTCATCTTATTCCTCCTCCTGAAGGGGAGCTCTAGTGGCACATTCACCCCTGCACCCCGGAGCTGGTTAGGAACCCGTGTTCTGAGCTATCTTAAGGGACTTGGCTGGGCAGCTGCTATTACAAAACAAATTGGTGAAGCACAGGACTCCACTCACCTTTCCTTCCTGAATTACCCTGGCTTGATGGCTTATCAGTTACAGAACCTAAAGGGCAGAAAAAAAAGAAGAAAAAAAGACATCCATTTAGATGCTGCAGGATCACACAGAATATATGATGTCACATTAATACAGTCAATCTCTCAACTCATCAAGCATCGATTTCACTTGTCAACAGTTCCATTTAAGACTCAAGAGAGCCTGTGGCTTCAACCAATGTGAAAAATATAAGGAAGTTTTATGCATTAAGACATTAAATTGGGATAAGGGTAAACAAGAAGTCTTTAGTAGCTGGATCTAGTGATTTCAAAAGACCTCAACAGAGCATCATACTAGTAAGAAGCCTGGAATAAATCCAAGGGCAAGAAGGAAAGATCAATAGGAGTCACTTCTTTCATTTGCAAATGTCAGGAAGAACAAATCAAAAGCAGATGGGGAGAGTGTGTAGGGAATGCAAGCACAGTATTCTAGAGGAAAGGGATTAAGTGGGACAATTTGCAGAAAATGGATTTCAACCAACCCCTGAACACCCCCAGCTGTTTGAAATGGGACACTGAATAAGATCCAGCATGTACTCGAACACAACACATCTTGGGTTGTTTGCTATAACTTAGATCTTCACATAGTATGTATGATTCTATGCTTGTTTCTGCACTCTGCTTTAGTGCTTCATCACAGTTTTCTACTAAAACTTGAACAGGTAATAAAAGCTTTTCAAATAAATCCATTATCAAAGTGTATAAAAATCTATGACAAGTTTTTTTGTTGTTTGGTTTGTTTTCTAATAGCTTTATTCACAGGAAACTGAATCTTCCATGCACCATTAGTAAACAGTTCTAGTGATTATTAAACATTCAGGAAACATGGATCAAAAGTCAGCTTTAAAGAAGGCAGCTCTGACAGGCCCAAGAATCTGATCAAGACGAACTCTGAAGGTAAACTACTGCCTGGACACTTTCACTTGCAGATCAGTTCATCACAGATCTACTGCTGAATTACAAGTAGTAAGCACAAACTCAATATTTGTCACCATATGTCAAACATCTGTGTCCTACAGTACAACATGACTTTACTTTTCTGCAACACGATTTTATAAACAGTGCAAGACTAACTGAAAAAAAAAAAAATCAATAAAAGTCTAAAACATGCCCTACCAAAGTGATAGACTGAAAATGGTGTCATAAAGTCATATTCTAAAAGTTTAAGCCAAATTACTGTAGGATTTCACCTTACACTAACATAGGATATTAATATTTTTTTCTTTCCACATGCCTGTGAAAAAGCATCTCCTCAAGGTACATCAGCTCACTGGTTCTTAGACAGCTCTCCAACTCAACTCAAACCCTTATGGCAAATCACTTATGTTTGCTTATTACTACAGAACACCCTACAGTCAAGAAGATACCGGATAAGGTGAGAAAAATTCAACATCCTAAAGTCATGCTCCCATCTAAAGGGAAAATGCTGCAAGGTGTGAGAGGAGAACTATACTAAAATCTCCTCAGGTGCAGACTGTAGAGCAAGAAGCCAGACACAGCAGCAGTGCTTATATGGCATCACTGAACATGTTAGAAACACACTCCTATGCTTACTGTCTTTTCCTCCTTCTTTAATTTTTTGGGGGGAGAGACTAAAGTGAGAAGGGCAGCACAATTCTAGTGCTTCCCTTTAAATCTCCCCAAAGTACAGAACAGCTTGCCAACCCTGCCTGTGTTTACTGCGATGTTGTCACAGCAGCACTGTTCACCACAGCTCACAAAGCTAGACCACTATTGATCAGGGCCATATGAAAATCTAGAGCCCAATTTTATTCCAGTTGAGCTATGGACCACCATATTGAATGGTGAGGAGAAGAAAGAAAAACAACATTACTCTGTTTTAAAGAAACTTGTGGATTTGGTCTCAATAAACTGCTGGGCAGCAAAATAATGTCAGGCTGAGAGCCCAGAAACACATCACTTAATAAACATGAGTAAAAGCCTGGGTCTGGACCTCCCTCTTGTGAGCCTGTGGTGCAAGCTCAGTCCTGCCTGCCCCATGACACAAACACAGGGATCCTAAACTATGAAATGTAGTCAAAAGATCCAAATTCATTATAACAGCAGGACTCCAGAAACTGGCAGTTTTGCACAGAATCACCCTCAGGAATTAACTGAAATCACTCTGTACAAAAAAATTACTCCATGTCCCACAAAACACAGCTCAAGAACCACTTCTTTAAAACACAGCTCATGGAAAAAAGTTATCCCATCTGTTCAGCAAATCTTTGGTGTTGGTGTACACAGCAACACTGACTCTTGCCTTGGCTGCCACAGGTTGCCACGTTAGACACTTCTTACAGAGCCTTGCAGAAGTGCCTGTGTCCTAATTGCAGGGTGGACATGCCAAAGTCCAAAGAGCAGTGTTAAGTGGGTTAACCTGGCCAAGTCACTTGAAAAGATCAGGCTCTCTCAAAAGGCTGAATTCACCCCAACCCTCTTTGGTTATAAAGTTAGTATTTGTTGAAGCCACTCCCACAGTACCTGAACATACAGGAGTTTTGTTCTGTACAGAAGAGCCGCTAATAGGCTTGCCATCAGGTGTCACACACCAGCAGTATCCAGTGTAGGTATGGCACTGCACCTGTTTAATAAAACAAAGAGCAGGCATTTCATTTCTCACTCTATCACCAACCACTTTATTATAATTCAACATCTTATTGGAAGTTCCACAAACAGCAGTATCACAAACACATGCTTCAGAGTGAGGAGGTCTTACAGAACACTACCCTTGATATAATTATCTTTTCTTCCCTCACCTCCCCCGAACCCAAAGAACCCAAAGAAAAGTGATTCTTCCTACTCCAACTCCCGTAGCTGAAATTCAAGAGGCAAAAGAGGTTACAACCATCTGAGAACACTTTAGTTGGGGGATGCAGCTCATCCCACCCTCCGCTACATCCCACTTACAGTTTACTATTAAAAACTTGTTCCTGCTGCATCCCAGCTGGGTTATGGAAAGGCCACCCTATCCCAAATTCCACAGCCACTGCTTGACAGCAGCATCTGTAGGCATTTCAAAAGCATTTTGTTCAGTAACATGACTGGAAAAACACAATACTGACTTGGCAAACCTTCTGCAGACAGATTTAAGACCTAGTCTGTTACTATGTCAAACTACACAGCAGGAGCAAGATCCAACATGCTTGCTCCTCATATATTGACATGGACTTAAGAACATTTGATGGAGGTTCTAGCAAGTCAAAAGGTACACAGTATAAAATTCATCTTGATTGACTTTAAAGCTCTACTTCTGAACTGAACATCTAGAGTTGCCCAGCTCCTTCCTTCACCACAGAAAGACACCAGAATTACTAATAATTTAGGATACAGAACCTCTCAAGTAAGAATAGATTAGTCTGATCTAGCAGGCTGATCCTAGTAACATCTATGGAGATACTAATTCAGCAGCACTAAAATTTCATTCAGCCTAACAAATCTAATGACAGCCTTTGCCTCAGCTTTCAGAGTAGCCAGCAACTGGATGAAATTCAAGATGCCTTTGACACCTTTTAGATAAAAGTAAACTATCATTGTACAAGAATCTGTGTAAATACTAACATGTCCCAAAATTCTTTCTAACAAGCATATTTTCAGCTGTAGTTAAATCTGCACATCAATACCTTGAAATGGTATAGAAGTTGTTCTGTTACTATAAACTAGAGGTGGTTCCTTCAACACATTTCTGAAAAAAATGAAATTAAATGAGACCATTTCAAAAACTGCCCTTTTATTTAACTTGTAAAATGAATTCTGTCCATTCTCTCTTTTTCCAAACAAGTTCATTGAAACCAATTTCTAATTCCAGTCCTTTTCACACAGAAGAGAAGAGTGATGGGGTGTTTGTGCTGGTCCCCTCATTAAGGATCCTTCAGAGCAAAACCAGTCATTCCCCCTCGCTGACAGCTGGCTTCAATGCCCTAAGGTAGCAAAGTTTGTTCAGAGACTTAATGACAGTTTTTTTAAAAGGCTTTGAATATCACATAAAACATGATCTAAGAGCAATTATAACATGGTACATTGTGTTTATCTTGGGTTTTACTTGTTTATCTTGGGTTTTACTAAAGTGCAAATCAATCATTTTGCCTCAAGCATTTACTTTTAGTAGCCAAAATCAACAGTTATCTCATGTACCCATGGTACTGCAGTCACTGTCACTGCTATTTGGAGTTTCACTTTTCTTCTCTCAATATATCACAATATTGATTGCAAATTACTCAAAAGTAGCATGACTATAATAAGCAATAATCAAGTTAGAAAGTATTTGTTATTGCTCAATGTAATCAATTGAACACTCAAAACAAATGTTACAGAACTGCTCGGGTTTGTGTTTAGAGTTTACCTTCACTGATCACACACACACAAGACTGCATTCCCAACAGCACAAGGAGCTGTCTTTACACCTGAGCATGATTTGTAAAAATCCTACCCAAGCCATAGAGCTAAATGCCAGGATAGGGTCTCGAATATGCAGGGCAAGACCATTCCATGTTATGTTATATAAAAAAGATCCAGTGCACCCAGCATTTAAAAAAGCTCAAGTATTAGTCACTCCATAGTCCTTTAGCCAAGACTTCAGAAAAATAACAAAGTACATGGAAGAGGAGTCCAAAAAAAATGTATTGACACAAATTCAGGATAGATGCATTAACTAAGAGTATGTTATATAACTCACCTCAGTGGAGAACTATTACATACACTCATTTATACAAGCCAAGCACATTACATCCATAAAAAAGTGAAGTAATTTTGTAAATAACTAGATTAAGAAATGCTAGTCTTCCTTGGACTGGTACCCCATGACCTTTTCTTCCCCCATGATGCCATTAAAAAAAGGAAGGAAAAAAAATCTGAGACTGACAGCACTCAGCACTTTCACAACAACCACAACCATGTTTTACTGCAGCACCAAAGGACTTCCCTTCTACAGATAACAACTGCAATTAAATCTCACCCATTATCCTAAAGGCCAGACTCATGAAGAATGGGCACTTCAGAAATCTCAAGAATCAATACAGCTGTTTTTCCTGAATGTCTTCACATTGAGACATGCTACCTTTCACCATCATACCTGACCAGGTCTCACTACAATTTAGGATCATAACAACAGTGGCCTACAGCCTAGAGTTTGCAGCTTAAAGGCTGGGAGGGAAGGTATGCTCCTCACTTACATAGGACTGGTGTGACACTGAAAAAAGTGTAAAGGCAATAGCTGATCCAATACCCTCTCTAAGCACTGTGTGTAAACAAACACAAAATGTCAATTATTTCAGAGCACCTATGGTAATGAATATTCAAAATGTAGGGGTTTACTTTAAAATTTTCTATTTATCTTATGTTTGAGCTTTTATTTCTAAATAAAATTTCAATTGTAAACCCAAAATTCAACCTCATTCTCATCCTACTCCCAAAGCAGTGAGATTTTTAAACATTTGTCATCAGAAGAGCAAGTATGCAAGCATGACAGATGTTTACTGCACAGATCTAATCTTCAGTTATTTAGTTAATTTTTACTCTATCAAAATACACATTAGAAAAAGTGTGTTTGACTTGTTTGGCTCTCAGTCTTCTAAAGCTAAGCACCGAGGTACAGGAAATATAATCTTGTATATTAAAATACAATCTTATATACTTAATAGACTCGATTGTTAACCAAGTCACAGCTACGAACACCTATTACTGCTGGAAAGGCACATAACAGAATTTGGTATCTCAGATTAACATACACCTGTCCAACAGCTGAACACTCTAAGTTATATAATAGGAAATCAGACAAATAAAACCTGCAAATCATTTGAGGTCATCAACAGATTCCGCATTAACATCTACATTTAAAAAAAAATAAATCCAATTCCATTTTCAAGCACTGCAAGCAGCCAAATCCCTGATCATGCAGAAGGACACGGTTCCTATTTTTCATGGAGAGATAGGACATCTTTCCTGTGTCTCAACTGAAGGATGAAAAGCATGAGGGACAAACCCAAGAAAAATTGCTCCATATCACCACTCCCCAAATTAAAAGTGTAGCAGCAGCTTCTCTATTCCACCCTGCCATTACAATGTGTGAAATCAAACAGCAGCCAATATACCGGCCATGTGATTAAATACCTGCTCTCATAAAATTCCTTACAACATGTAAACATTAAAAGAGTAGTCACTGGGTGATGACTCTGCCTCTTAAGCTCCTCAGGGGGAAAAAGAAGCCATTCTTTGGGTTTCTTCAATATCTCACTGGCAATGCCAGAACCAGATTCCCAAGTAAAGCTTCTAAACAAGCAAGCAGAATCTCTTTATAGCTATTAGACAAATGAGGATCAAAGGGATGTTGCTCAAATAGAAACTGGAAGTGAGAGAAAAATTGTTTAAACATATGACAGAGAGAACAGAGGCAAAGCAGCAATTCTGTGATGGCTGAAACCAGTTTCCATGGAGTTACAGAAAGAGGTCGTTTGCTCTAAGAGGCTTGAAAGCACCTTTGACAAGCACTGGGCTGACCACAGGAACAGCAACACTCAGACTAGCCTCTCACTGCTGTTCAGATGAAAAGTTTAGCAACCTGTTCCTATCCCATCACAGATCAAACAAACATTTCCTGGCTCCTTCTACAATGAGGGGCAGAGATGAGAAGGGAAGAACATTCATTCTGTACTGAAAGCTGTATGTCTATGAGAAAAGAAAAAAAAAAAAAAACACATCCAGTTTTTGACTAGCACTGCTGAGGCTAAGGGCAGGCAGCAGAGCTGAGTGCACTCACAGCACCAGGCAAGGCTGCAAATCCCGGTTGCATCCAGGTGCTCCTTGTAAACACTGTAAAAACAGCTAAATAAACAGCTCCAAGCCAGCAGGTCATCTAGTCTGACCCAGAGAGCAGAAGCCAGTGTGACACAGGATTCTTTAATCAAGTCTTTCCTTCACTCAAGCCATTGAGGCTCAGCTAGAAAGTCCCCTGAACCCAAGTTATTGGCACACTGGCCTGATGGCTATTTATCTTAACTCTACATGGTGATGCCTCTGTTCTGGTTCACATGTCTTGCTGTAATGCTTGGACCTGCATCTTTTCATACTTTTTGCTACATTAAGAGTCAGCTGATTATTGTCAGAAGCCTGCCTTACCTTTATGGGCAATTTTAGGGGAGCTCTGAATCAGTCAGCATCTTGTGTTTAAGCCTTTTTGGAACTGCAGCCGCTTAAATAATGTTAGTCACTTTTTCTGTTCTCCACTCATATTTAATTCTTCACAAATGGTGTTGTGTAAATATTCCCACCAGGGCTTTATGCAGAACCCACCTCCCTCAAGTCTATGCACCACTCAAGAAATGCTTGCTCCACAGGACTTTCTCTATTAATATAACCAAAGAAAGAAATGATCTGAAGCAAAAGAATCTTAGTCATTCCCATCACACACGCTGACACATATTATTTTTAGTTTGGGTAAAGGGTCCCCAAGAGAGGCTTTCTGCTTCTGACACAGAATATGACACTTTGAAGCTAAGAATGACCGTACATTGTCACTTTCCTTAAGCATGTCTGCTCCTGCTTTAAGAACCTGTTCCTTTGCTATCTCGACTGGCACTTCTTTGAAGAAACGCCACAAATAACCAAAGTTCTTACCTCCTTACCCACTCACGGTTTATCTTTAGCACAACATAAAAATGAGAAACACAATGAAAGCCACAGGAAGAAATCAAGTGTTTAAGTAACAAACCCGTAGAGCAGTACTCACAGAAAGCTACAGCTACCATCTTTTATAGAAGAGATGTCTTTTAATAAAAAAAAGCCAGAACTACTTACCATTTAAAAACCACATGCTTTATAAAGAGGGTTTTTAAAAATCTAACAAAATAGACTGTTCTGAAAGGAGAGGTGAGTTTATTGAGAGCTTACTATTGCTGGAATCTGAGCACTGAATAATGGAATAACAGACAGCATCCAGGGTATGAAGGATATGTCTACACAGTATCCTGCTGCATTAAGTGAGTTTGCAATTCTGCCCAGCATCATCCTACACTAGCCAATAGAGAGGAGCAGACTTGCATCATGAAGTCACACTGAAGGCTGAAAGGGTTCCCCACATCTTTACAACAGGCTGTTTGTGGAACTTGGGAGAAAACAGAACTTTATGTGTGCATTAGCACAGTGTGGAGTGAAACTACTGGTATGGACCATAATATAGATCATTCTTTCCAAGTAGACTTATATTATGAGATGTGGGAATGCTCTGGAAGCTATCAGATAATGCAGAACTGCTCTGATAATCAGCTCCTCACTGATCCTGCCATAAGACTACAGGTTTGACTGATGCACGCACTTTAAGAGAAATCTCAGTGCTATATCATAACTGCACCAGGAATCATATTTTAAGAACCCTAAACTCAAAGAAACTCCCCAAGGAGATTTGCCCTCAGACACTTGTATGCAGACTTGTGAGGAAAAGAAACCACAACTAGACAGTGGAAGGTGGCAGCAAATAACAAGACATACCACAAAGTCCCACAAAACTACACCCTCAAGGCAGGATTAACATTATTCATGTTCATATTAATCTGTCTGAAACAGATCCCATTTAAAATCTCAGCAACCTTTTCTGAAAAACTGCTTGGGGGAAAACTATGAAGAATGCAAGTCTCCCTCAGCCCATGGCAACAAGCCCAATGGCACTAGGCAGCAAAAGAAAGTGTGCAGATTACCCACTAGTGCCTGTTGTTTATGAAGAACAGATCACAGCAGGTTAAGTGCAGCATGGAAAAAGAATGGCATTTATGGAAAATACAGCATAACAGTAAACAGGCAAAAGTCTTGGGAACAGAAACTGGTTTTAGTCATGTTCAATTCTGTACAACAGTACGTGACAGTACATTTTCTACAATTAATCAAATTACTCCTATCTAACAAACATTCTTATGTTGTGAATAACTCGAATTTTATCTTCCTGCTTCTATTACTGTGGGCTAAGTGTAGAGAGATTTTGTTATAGGAAATAATATTCCCCATAGACTACAATATAAAGGCAGAGCAATTCCAGAGGAATTAATCAGGTCTGTTTCCCCATTTGCAGTCATCCCACCATGCCTGCAGTGGCACCACTTCTTCATGCTGCAAATCCATGTCACATTTTTAGATGGGTAAGTAGCACTAAAAGGGGATTTGACAAGATTTTTGCAATACATATACTCAACAATAAGGGAAGCAGCACACATTGCATAGAAATGTTATGACAACCAGTGAATTGACAAGTACCAGCTCCTCTTGATGCAGTACACAAACCTTATTTATACCTAGTCATGCACAGGAAAACTGATCAGCTGAGCAACAGAATTGGTGGCAACACTGCTTTCAGTCTAAATTTCACAGGCAATGAAAACCAGACAGATCATACAAGTGTTTTAAGACATGCATGATGTCTCCCTATGAAAGGATTTAAATGCAAGCCAAACTAAGGCCTTGGCCTTTAGGCCCTTCTCCTTTTCACCCTTGTAGCCACATCTAACTGTGGCAGATGCAGCGCTGCAGGGAAGCAGGAGGAAGTGAGCTGAGTGTGGTGTTCCTGCTGCAGTCGCTGCCCCTCGGTGCATGCTCCTGCTCACAGAGCAGCAGAGGAGCTGTGTTCTCATCACCACCCTAAGCCCCATCCAATCTGCAAATCTGCCCCAAATTCAGGGCTGAACTGGGTACAACTCCAGGAGCTGGAGAGGGCAAAGTTGAGCTGCTTTCAGAGGAACAGCCCCATCTTCAGTGTTTACCCACAGTGACTGCAATTTAGTTTCTAATCAAGATAATTATGATGAACTACAAAAGCAACAGTTCAATCTAGTTAAGGCCAAGCAGGTTCTCTGAACATAGTTACTACCACCAAATTCTCCCACATCTGTACTGCTCTTGTTTTTCAGTCCTACAAAAATTTCAAGAATGTCCAACAATTAATTAATTAGTTAAATTAAAAATCAGACTCTTTTGAAGTCTGATGGCAAGGACAGCAATGTGGGCCTGAACACCTACTGTGTTCAGTAGGCTCGGCAAGATGACCTGAAAGCAAGTCATCTACATCTTGAATGAGTGCTGAAACAATTCAGACATTTGATGTTCTAAATATATGCATACATCTCTGCTTCCTCATTGATCAGAATTTTTCTTCTACATAAAACTCCCTTTCAATAACAGTTACACAGAAAGGGGGAAGCTGTTGAAAAAGTCTCCCTAGCCAACTTTATACAAAGAGTATATACCCTGAAACATGTGCATCTGCTTAGCCTCTTGTTGGGATGGGGATTCCACGTTGAAGAGCACAGTGGGTATTTTTCCTAGAAACTTCCTTCCCAATTGAGATTTTGGAGTCTAGATGGAGCAACACTCTGGGTACTGAACCAGAATAAACTAATAACAGTCCAGAGCTGACTTCAGCAAGACCTCAGGGACTTCACAAGAACACAGCCTCCCTGTAGAACAGAACCCAGAAACATCAATTCTCTGCACAAGAGATACCTCCAAATTCTCTGCACAAAAATACCTCCACCAGATGAGATCTACTCATGAGTTGTTGGAAGCAAAACTGTTTTGACTGTTCATCAAAATTCTAGTCTTTATACATGTTTTTTAAATCAAAATTTAACTCATTTTGACCAGAAGCTAAAGGAAATATTTGTCTCAAGTGCAGGTTGAAACTAGTTAGCTTTCTTGGACATTATTTTTCACTTAAATCTTATGCAGGGACAATTACCTTAAATGCTGCAATATAACTGGTGAAGCTCGGTCATGAAGTATGTGGAACACAGGGTATTTTTATGAACCAAGGAATTATATGAATTTCAGTTAATTCCAGATACAAAGAGATCAGAGGCTTCCTTCATCATGCCAGGTAAAACAAAAGCACTTCAGCGTTCACAGATAGAACTGAATGGAGGAAGAATGCGAAATATCACTTGGCTGCCAACTGACACCACACAATTTTTGTAAGCAGTTTCATGCTGCCCCTCAACTGGCAACCAACACTGGCTAAGGAATGTGCCAAGGAAAAGTCCAGCAACTTCTCCACAATCCAGACACTGGTATCAACCTTCAAAAAGAAACCTGTCTGAAACAAAGCTTTATCAACTATACCATCAGTCCAGCTTATAAGGATAAAAATTTTACCTATTTCCCTCTCCAAGAGGTTGATGGACAGGTGATAGACATTTCAAAGTTTGTTTTCCTTACCATTTTTTTCTTGAACTATAAGTTTAACATGGAACACTTTGTTCCATGTTGGCCCACTGTGCTAGCTTTTATAAACATTAGCCTCCAGTGCCAACACAATCTGAGAAGCTCTACACAAAATCAAATTTCAACAATTGAAAGTTCAGTTAAACTGCAGCCATCTTCTCTTATCCCTTCCCACGATGGTCCACACAGTACAGAAATATAATGCTGCTCTAAAGCAGCATGAAAAGTTTGCAGAATGAATATAACTTTTTCTACTTCATCATCAAAAAACAAAAACAAAAACAATAACACTCCCACACACCAGATGATAGGAGGGTAAGACCGAGGAGGGGAATAAATTTTTTTGTGGGTTATCACAGAAAAAAAATCTTTCCTCTCCTACCCCCCAGGCATCACAAAGTGTTTGAACCAAATCCAAAGTTCTCTGCCTTTTCCATCTTTTTAAAGCCAATATTGATTGTATTTTGGAATTTATTTTACCTTCAGAAGACCTTGCAAACAACCAGTGTATCCACAGACACATGAAGCCTGGCTGAATGAAGCAAATAGAAATTTCTCCAAGAAAGAAAGTATCTAGAGCAGTATTAGATGTATGAAAGGTTAGGCAAAAAACATTCTGTGATTTACCTAAATCCACGAAGTAGAGGTCACAGGTTTTTCGCTTTTTAGATGCATGCAAAACTGAGCAGACAGCATGAAACTGTGTCAGCAAACTGTGCATGAGGCATTTCTAACACACAGCTAGTCAGCACTAGGACACTACTCAGTGTTACTCTGTGGTAACAGAACCAGCTATCACTTCATTTCTACCCTGCTTTGGCAAACTCAAGCAACTGAACAGTGAAGAATCAAAAACCCAAAGCAGTCTCATCTCCTCTCTCCCAGTCCTCCAAATCACTGCAGGACACACAGTACAAGAAGTACCCTGCAGAAGGAACAGGCTGAATAGACTGCTTTTGTTCCTTGGGATAGATGAACCAGAAGCAATAATAGAATCAGCTGCATCTACCCTGCCCTGTGTAAGCCACAGCTTTCTTCATAGCCCCTCTCCATGGAAATATTGACCTTCCCTACAACTGCATTTCTTTCTATGCAATGCTGAAGATTAATGCCATTTGTTCCTGTACTACACTGGAGCTGGTTGCTATTACCTATGTGTATGTCTTTTAAGGTATTGTAACTGAATCAAAATTTCCATTTGACTAAAAGTTCCCAGCTTTCAAATGTTTACCTGAGTAACTGAGTCAGAGTGTGCATCCACTTTGCTATCATCACTTGGCTCATGCCTTAACACTGAATCTCCCAAGACACCTGAAGCCTGGCTGCATGAAGCAAAAAGAAATTTTACCTGCATGAATGATCCATCCTCATTGCATTCTGGGATGAAGACTGCTTCCTGGGGCTTCTTTGCCTGTTCCAGCGCTTGAGCTCTCTCTAATCGACATTTGCTTTGGCCAGCATCTACAAAGAGAAAAACAAAACTCATTTAACATTGCAGTTTGGCCTCTCCAAAAGCTACCAGTCGACCCACGCAGCTGCAAGAGGAAAACCTCCAAAACAAATAAACAAAGCATAAAAGACCATTACCCAGACATTCACAAGGTAGATATGGAGTTACCACTCATGATCCACAAGACAAATATGAACCTAGACAATCAAACCACAAGCCAGCTAATTAAGAGCTGCCTAACTTCCTAGTCAATAGTTTTTATGGTCATCTAAGGATCCTGGAAGCTTCTTTCAACCAGCACTGCAGCATAATATCCACACAATGAAAGGCCAGTAACATTAACAGCCTAGAACTGGATGGCCGAGTTTAAACCAAATAATTGGGCCGAGTGGTGAGCAATGTGGAAAAGAAGCGACAACCTCCTCTTCTCTGAGCAACTCTCCCAGGAAGATACTAAAAGAGTCAGTCATCCATATGAACTTCCACCTTTGTGTGGTTCCAATGAGGCAGATATGCCATTTCCTGCACTTTCCTGAAACTCAGCTTTTACCTCTAGTCCCAGTGCTTACAGTCAGCTGTGCATTACAACTTTCTCATATCAGTTGCTCACTTTGGAGACAAAAATCTTGCTCTGCAAGTAGAGTTTGAAAGGGTTAAGATCTCTGTTCTTACTTCGGATGATGGCAAAGTGTAGCATAACCTTAACCCCTTCCAGGCTGAGCTCACTGCGAGTATACTCAGATAAGTGTAATTCTAATGACTGATGAGGCAAAAGAGGAAAGTTCTGCCCTGTAGAGATCCAGACTGACTTGGTGTTTACATTTTAAAATATCAGGTCTAACAATACTGCTGTTCAGTCGAGAAAGGGAAGAAAAATAGTGAACATCTGTTTCCACGGCACTTTGACACCAGAACTAGCACCTTCTTTCTTCTCCCATGAATCCACTGACTAAAGCTTTTCAGTGGTGAAACTTCAAAAATCTTTTAGCAGCACCATACAGAGGAAACAAGTTTCAATCCCCATTCTACCTGGCATAGAAATCATATTGGTTAACAAAAAATTCCACTGGATCCCTGAAGATCACATTCTCTTTCACAGATCACATTCACTTCAACAACAGAATCACCAACACCAGCATTAAATTAGAATTTATTTAAAACACTCTGGGTTCTTAAAGCAATTGAATTCACATTGTGTGGCAATGGAAGTCACTTCCATCTAGGCATCTCTAGACACAGAAATCAACGACAATGCTGTAAAATAGTTTTGATAAAGGCAGATCAAAGCTTTCAGACCAAATATTTTATTTACACAACTGATGACTCGAGAGATTAAGTTTCCAGTTTGCCAACACGGTCTCATTTTAAACATAACACATTACTTCCCAAGAAGGATTTCACAAGGCTTCTGAAATTATGAAAATCAAACTGTTCTCTTTGGAAAAGGAATGATTCATAGCAATAATATATAGTAGAAATGCCAGCTGCTCAGGCACTGGGTTAGAAAGCATCAGTACCTCTATCAATTCTGCCAATGACCACTGAGAGACTACAAGTTGGTCACCTCACCCCACTGTGACCTCGTGTCACTTCTGATCTTACATCATTTATCTTTAGACTAATTTGTTTGTTGGGTGTCTGCACAATACCAAGTACATGGAGCTTTGATCTCAGGTGGGTGCATTATGCACCTGTATAAAGAATGAAATTGTTACAGGACTTGAATAAAATTTACAGTGTCTTTTTTTCTAGTTATCCATAAGCTTTGACATGGAATTTCCTTTTCACCTTGCCCACAATGATCAGATGATCAGACCATGTTTGCACATCTCCAGTGGAGGATAGCCCTGCCAGCTGATCCTTCCAAACACATGTTCACTCTTTCAGCTGAAAAGGAAGCACTGGTAATGCTTTTAACTGGAACACCTATCACCTGCAGATCTCCTGTTCAAGCTTAAGAGTCTAATCTTGCTTGGCATGACAGAGGACATTACTACAAAACCAGATGGTGTGCCTGCACTTTGTTTCATAGTTGCTTGACTGAAAGTACTTTCAACTTCTGCTTCAGAGGAGACAACTAAGTAGCAAAAAAAAAAAATCAGCATACATTATGGAGATGTGCACTGCAAGGAAAAAAACAGGTGTGAATTTCTGACATGACAATCAAACCACAAGTACCCAAATGAAAGTGTTTTCTAGTCTCTATATATGAGGATACAAGACTGCAGACAGGCATTTCTGGTTCCTTTCCTGATCATAAAACAGAAGCATAAAGTACTTCCACATAGCATCTGCTTTAATGCTAGTACACTCACAACTACACGACTGAAACGGGATGCTTCAGCACAGAGCTGACAGAAACAAACATTTTGTGATATCCCCTGTAGTACTAATACATTAGAAGCCCAGGCAGAAGGGAAACAAACCCAGATCTTTGTCCAATTTGTCTAATGAACAAAGAAACATGCAGAAGATCAAGCTCTTAGTTTAAGAAGATAATATAAACACATTACTGCTAAGGCTACCATGTCCCTCCCAGCAATTTTAACTGGCCTTTATAGATTGAACTCTCTACTCCCACCCAGCAGAGCACACTTCATAGCACACTGCCACTACACCATCAGGTGTTTAAGAGCTCATCATGGTTACAGCATCTTTTGCACTTCAATCGTTGGCTCAAGTGGTGACTCTTCACAAATTGCTGCTGAAGCACAGAGAAGACAGAGTTTTTCTTCTGTTCACGAACACTCAGGACTGATTACTTCTCCCATCCTCCCTCATTGATTTCCAAAGGTCACGCCAGTCCTTTTAAAGTCTTGATTTGGAACAAACACCTGCATACCATGCTGGGTGGAGAGGTGCATGCATATTGCTATCTTTTTTGTCAGTCTTCCACAGATCAGTTCCAGTAAAAACAGTGCCTTTAAGATCAACATTTACCAGTTTGTTTTTAAAAGGATTGTCAATCCTTCTCTTCCTCACTCCACAAGCTGGTATTTTTATAATGTTTGCATCAACATGTGATTTCAGTGGGATGACTTCACCTTGCTATTTTTGCTTTGTTAATTAGAAAATGTAAAGTATTACATAAGTGCCAAGTGCTTAAAAAGTAGCTGTCAAATAGCTCACCCCAAATAAGATGCATTACAAATTTTACTAAAGCCTGATCTTATGATTGTAGGTTCCTATACCCTATTCTGCATTTTGACTGCTTATCCAAGTGTTTCAGCACTTTCTTCCCTGTTTTTGTAAATGTTCCCTGGAATATCAAACACCATGTTTATAAACCAGAATGGCATTAATGCATTCCAGTTTCATGGTTCAAGCAGACTAAATTGGACACTTTTCCCTCCATTACATTAGGTGAAAAACCAAAACTGCATAACTTCTTTTGAAAGTAGACCTGCTTGATTTTACTTTAAATATCTTCAAACTTGGGACGGATTTACTGTAGCTCAGAAAGCTGCCTTTTAAAGAAAATTAATTCTCAAGCTGGCAGCTGGCAACCAGGAGATTGTTAACTACAAGTGATGTTTTTGACATCCCTGGCCTAATCAGCACAATGCAGGTGCACATAATTTTGGATTTTGCAATGAAATTGGCCAGTTACCATGGCTGATCTTATCCATGAATAGTTTATTCAAACAAGACCACCATGTCCCTCATAATATACACACTGCACTCCTGAATAGGCTCCAAGAATTCCAGCACCCTCTCTTCAACAGGCAGAGGCAGTATTGACACCACACAACATCATGGTATGAAGACTCAAGCTCTCCTAATAACACGAAGTAAAATATCTCCAGGATTCACATAACACTAGCAGCAAATCAATACAATGCAACCACCAAAATCTATTAAAGCTACTTAATTTTAATTCTCCTACGTTTGTATCCAAAGTTCAAACAGCAAAAATTGATCCAAGCAACTTTTTTATTATTTTCAGTTCCATTAGGTAACTGTCTCACCTACAGGCCAGGTCTCCACCAGACATAAAGCAGTTCAGCTACACTAAAGTCAGCAGGTTCATACCCATTTATCAAGTATCTGTGTATTTACATAAAACATACAAAAACGGATCTCAGCAAACTACAAAAACATGCCTATCTGTTGTACAGGATATCAATCATTATTCACTCTTCTCATTGTTTTCCACTTCATTTGGGTCAGGTTCTACACATGGAATCTCAAACTTCTTTCACCCACAGAGAATGGTTCAGGTTGGTAGGGACCACTGGAGGTCATCTTGTCCAAACTTCCTGCTAAGGCAGCGTCCCTTGGAGCATGCTACTCAGGATTGAGTGCAGACAGCTACAGATATCTCAGGGGGAAGAGACTCTGCAATCTCTCCGACAGCTCTTCCAGTGTTCAGTTACCTTCACAGTAATAACGTTCCTCCCCGTGTTCAGACAGAACTACCTGTGTTCCAGTCTCTGCCCACTGACCCTCGTCCTATTGTTTGGCACTACCAGAACATCTGGATCCATCCTGTGACACCCTCCTTTCAAGACACTTACATACATTGATGAGGTCCCCTCTCTGTCACATCTCCTCCAGGATAAACAGGCCCAGATCCTTCAGTGTTTTCTCACATGTGAGGTGCTTCAGTCCCCTCATTGTCTTTGTCACCCTCTGCTGGACCCTCTCCAGGAGCTCCATGTCTGTCTTGTCCTGAGGAGCACAGACCTGGACACAGCACTCCAGGTGAGGCCTCACCAGGGCTGAGCAGAGGGGCAGGATCAGCTCCCTGGACCTGCTGGCAGTGCTCTTCCTGATGCAGCTCAGGATCCCATTGTCCTTCTTGGTCACAAGGACACTGCACACATGGACAGCTTGGTGTTCACCAGGGCTCCCAGGTCCTTCTCCACAGAGCTGCTTTCCACCAAGTCTGCCCCCAGCTTGTACTGGTGCAGGACCCCATACTCTGTTGGATTTCAATAAGGTTCCATGCTTTTCATACCTCCAACCCTCAGATCTTTCTGAAGAGTTCCACAGCCCTCCTGGCTTTGAATCATCAACAGACTTGCTCAAGAGGCATCTGTCCCTTCATCCAATTCACTGATGAACAAGTTGAATGAAAATAGACCCAGTATTGAACCTTGGGGGACACCACTAGTGACAGGCCTCCAACCACAGCTGTGCCACTGATCCTGATCCCAATCCCTGAGACCTGGTGCTCAAATTACACCACTGTCCACATGTCCAGTCTGCACTCCCTGAGCTTTCCTGGGAGGATATCATGGTAGAGAGTGCCAAAAGCCTTCCTGAAGTCCAGTGGCCAACACCCACTACTCTTCCCTCATCTATCCAGCCAGTTGTCCCACCATAGAAGGCAGTCTGGTTGGTTAAGCATTATTTCCCCATCCACATTGACTGCTCCTGATCACCTTCTTGTCTTCCTTTCAACACCAATGCACTTTGTTCCTTTTTCAATATCCACATTGCATTTCTACTCCAGAGTTCCCTAATTTATTCAGAACATGCCTAGATTTGCAAAGTGATTGAAAGTGACATTTTATATTTTACTAACTGCTGCCAAGGAAGGACATTCTTATTCATAGTCAAGGGAGACTAAAGCAAGTTTGAAGACAAAACACATGGATCTAGTGAGCAGTCAAAGTGGCTCCAAAACATCATCCCCTGTCCAACGAAAATAGTAGGTAGAGAAGATTATCTTCAAATAACCCATCAGTCAGAATATCTGCCTTTCTAGCACATTAGCCAAAAGCTGTGTTCATTGCCTGTATCCCAGGAGAAAGGCTGAAGGTCCTGTTACAATCTCCATCAGTAACTTACAGATAGGTTCACTCTTCACGGTGACTTGTGATCTAAGAACAAACTCTGTACCAGCAGACTTATTAACCTAATTAATAAATCTAAAGAGAACTTTTAGAACACTCCCACATCATAATTAAATAAGCCAAAGAAGCTCCTAGAAATCAACCAGTTAACACAGAATTTAAATGTGTTCTAAGCCACAGATATATACCAATAAAACAATCACTGTGTAAATGACTCTTGGCAAGCTGTCAAGATTAACAAGTCCTTCACCACTGCAAAGTTTTGAGGTATAATTCTTATTTAACATCAGATAATATGACACCTCCTGAGAAAAGATCCAGGTAGCATTGCTTGGCTGTGTATTTTAGCACAGCTATACCGTCTGGAATCACCCTATAGATCTCATTAGTGAGGCTCCATTTGTCAGGGGTGCCATAATTTGATCACTTTAAGCTACTCCTGACTTTTAACCCTTTGTGATATGTGAGGGTTTGGAGGGAGTTCAGATAATTTAGCACTGAAGGAATTTCATTGAGAAGCACATGAGGAAGCTAGCAACAAATGAGAGCTGAATAAAGGTTATAGCTCCCAAAGGGCTGGCAAAATTTCATCTTTAAAGGTCCTTAGTTTCTTGAGAGAGAACAGAGCATTAAGTTGAATCAAAAAGGTTCTGTTCTCACTATGGAAACCATTCTGTTTGCCTTGGCACAAGCACAGTTCAAGTCATCAGCATATACACTGGAAGCCTACGATAATCTGGGCTGCAGAACTATGCCTTGCTGTCCACAATATATTTTCTCTTTTACTTATTTTAGTCGCCTGTTGTTTCTCCCTTTCAGAGAATGAAGTGCAAGTTAAAACTTCTCATTCCACAAGGATAATTTCTTGGGTACAGCATCTATCACAACTGCATGTGACTGAGCTCAATGGCCCATAGGATCCCTTACAGTTCCATGGGAGCTCTCCTGTAGAGCATCTGTCATGCAGGAGGAGTGAAGGCTGTTCAGGGTACAGCCAGTGTCCTGATACAGTACAAGGTGCTTGAACACTGTTGGCAATACCTTCCTTTTTGCAAGTACACAATACAAACCCAGCCAACAGCCTGTAGCTCAGCACAGCTATCTCACAACTGCCTGGATTTGCCAACAACTGTGATCTTTACGCACTAGAGGTCATGTTCCAGCTAGAAAAACAAAATACCTTTCAAGAGTAGCACATATGGAAATTACCAGCTAGGTTAAATTTGCATGTGATAGTTGAAAGAATATTCCTACTTCACAGGGATTGGCAGGCATATCAGTGGGTTAAAAGCAAGACTTTCAGTTTACAAACACTCCCAAGTTGCTAGATATAGCATAGAACCTAACAGGCAAGAGGAAAAAAGGAAAGGAGAATGCAAGTTAGCTTCAATTAAACATTTCGACTGCATCAGAGAGCAGAAAGAAAGTGTACTTTACCTGTACACAAGACAAAAAAAGTCTCAGTTACTTCTTTGGGACTCTGGAACCACAACATGCAGTAGGCTGTGTAGTTGGAAAGCAAATTTTGTCTATTTCCCAAAACAGACAGTTTAGTATATGGAAATACAGTAGTACTGCATTTCAGATCCCACGTTTTAGGCAACTGAACAGTGCCAGTTTATATGCCAATATCAGCTATGCAGCTGCTTATCTAAGACACTCTGCTCACAGGACGAAAGCAAAAACAGGACTCTCACCATACTGCTTCTTATTGTGATACTCAAAAATGCATCACTTGCAAGAACAAACCAAGTGCTTCTTAAGCTCTGCCAAGAAAGGTTCTGGGTTGCCAGTATTTAGAAAGAAGCCTGATTCAAAGGCCCCAGTCTATGCTATGGCAGAAGCTGCCATAAACTAACCCAGAAGTAGTAAAAAACGAACAAACAAACAAATCATACAAGTAAGTTTTTTTCCAATGAGAAACTGTTTAAAAGAGAATAATATTTGAAGTCAGGCTCATAATTCACTTAAACTGTAGTCTGTCAATATACTGAAAAGGGATTTCCATTTTATATCAAGTAATTCTAACAAAATAAGTTTTTAATATAGCAAAAAAGCCTTTATAAACAAATGCCAGGCTTAAATGAATTGTGTTTATTACGTCACATGGATTGTAATGAGTTTCTCCTGTCACTTTAATCCACTGCCAAAAACACCTGTGCTATCTGCCCTCTGAGCCAATTGTGCTCTCAGAAAATGGACTCCAATTTATTTTTCACTTCATTGCAAATGCAAACCATTTGTGTGACAAGACACCAACAATCTTTTTAAAAGTTTCAGCTTCATCTTTAGACTATGCCAAAAAGCTGCACTGAGGGACAGTATTCACACTCCTAAGTAGATGTGTAACAGCAAACAGAAGAGAAAAAAAGCCATGTAAAGCCTTGCATGCATTGTCTTCTTAATTAGCTCAGCACAGAAAGGCTGTGTATGTCTGAAAAGGGACTAGACATCTAGCATGCATCATATTCTTCCCCACTCCAAACTGCTGTCAGAGTTAAAGGTGTCTTGATTCCTCATCAGCATAGGTAGCAAGGAAGAAGTCTGCTCTCAGGATTTGTTTTTTTCCATAAGGCCAGTTGTTTCTGTTTGCAGACATATATTTCAGCCCTTTTTCAGTGGTGTCTGTGGCTCCTTTGCCTTCTTTCATTGATAATTCAGTCAGCTCATACTCTACTGCCTAAACCAACACTCAGACACCCCTGCTTGCAGGAATGCACAGTTCCAAATCAGATTACTCTCAGAGCATGCTACTAAACTCAAAGGTCTCAGAATTCCATTTCTTACAAGGCAGGCCTCCCATTTGTGGCATTAGAAGTCCACCTACCTTTGCAGCGGCCCCGATGCGTGACGCTCAGACCGGGCTCGCGGCATTTGGCTCTCTGGTAGTCGCACATGGACTCGTACGTTCTGCCGTCAGAGGCACACAGGGGCTTGGCCTGGGACCTGGAGCAATGCAGGTTACACTGCGGGTCTCTGTCACGGTCGCTTATTAAAAACTGAAGGAGGTGAAAAAAGGAGGGAGAAAAAAAAAGAAACAAAACAGTGGTTTTGTTTGGTTTCCCAAAACTGAGCATGGTGTATTTTTTTCTTTATGACAATATCAATATGACTATAATGCATTTTAAGCTGACTTTGCCTGAAGGGAACTTTAAATGAAACACGTACATCCTTTAAAAAAAAATTAACGGTCTTTGCCATTCCATTCTCTTTAATAAAATGGAAACATTACTCACTCTGCCTCACCTCTAAAAAAGTAAGATGTGCAAAGCCAAACACAACCCACACGGGAAGGGCAATACTGAGTCACAACAGCCTAGCTTGCCCAGTGCTGGGCCACAAACAGTATCTGGTACTAGACAATTTTAGTCAGAGACACAAAAAAATTTACCACCAAAGACAGATGAATACAAATAAAATATCAAGATTGGCCTTGGTAGTTGAACCATGCATGTGACCAGTTTTATATCACTAGTGATGTTTTTGAAAGCATTGTTAATATCATCTGTAAACACTACCTGCAAGAGCATACCTGCACACTCCCAAAGTCACCTTTTGTTCCATCTTGATGACACCCAGCACACTGGCAATTGCACTCCATGCAGCCCACAATCTAATGACACACTATGTGAAAACCTATTTCTTTTCAGAAGTTTGAATTTATATCATCTTTCTGCATGCCTCTTCTTCCCGAGCATTCTATTGTGATGCAATCCATTTTGTACACGTGTCATTCCTTGTCGGTCTTCAGTAGCTTGAATAATCCCGACCTTCCAATTTCTCACCCAGACCACTTCTCTCCATATCATGATCACTACTGTTTTCCTTGGCATTCTGCCTTATTTTTGGTGATGTGGAAACCCACAATGCATATGAGTCCCCATCTTCTGTCTGCTTGTACCCTGCAAATCCTAACATCTGGAAGTAGAGTCCCCATCTTCTCTCTGCTTGTTCCTTGCAAATCCCAACATCTGGAAGTAGTTTACTGCTGTACCCTCAAGTCAACTATAGAGACACCCAGATCTCCTTTCCAAGTTCATATTGTTTTCCTGAGGATCCAAACTGAAGGTATCTTTCGATAACCACTGGCAGAAATTTTTGGCAAGTCATGACAGTAGCAGCCTCTTTCTCTTCCCATACCACCCCACTTAGTGGTTCATCAGATTTTTAATTACAACACAAACCCAATCACCTGCTCACAGGAAGATTTCAGAGGACTCTTCAAACAAGTTCCATGAGGATTAAGCAAAGAAAAGGCAAGTCAAACCTGCCTTGCACTTCCCCATCCCTACCTCCCATTTCTACAGCCTCCTGCAAGCCTGGGGGCACCAGAGCTGCTCTCTAACACACCGATATCCCAGCTCGCTGTCAAAGCAGCTCTGAGCTCAGCAGTTCAGAGCTGGCTGGCAAATGGGCACTGACTGACACCCTGCCTGTATGCACAAAGCCACAGCTCTCCAAGTGTGTTGATAGCTGGATGCCTTACAGGGAAGTGTGAGTCACTGCCATAATCACCTTGGTGTTACAGTTTCCTACAAAGCTGTCTACTCTATGCTTTGAGGTTAAAGCTGTTGAAAAAACATTGCCTGAAGCCTAGTTTAGGTTGGTTTTTAACCACTCCGAGAACATGCATCTCTGAAATTTGGTTATTGAGAAGTTTCATATTTTCATACTGTACTGCTGGATCTTTTGACAACTAATGCATTACTAAACCCCTTATTTAAACATGACAGCTGAGAAAAGTAAGCAAGGTTGGCATTCATTTTACTTCTGGTGGGGCAAACTTTTTTTTTAAATCTCATCTGTCACAGACTTGACATTATTTGTTACAGCACAGTGCTTTTGAAATGTTTTTGTTCCTTTTCTGCAACACATTCTATAACCTGGCAACACCTGCTCCAAATGGGAAATTGGAACATTTAAACCTGAAGGCAATTTTAAATTGTTTATAGAGACCTGGACTAGACTATAAAAACACTGTAAAGCTGGACCAGATTTTTTTCTTTTCAGTGGCTGGACTATCACAACTTAACTTGGAATTGCTCTGGCTACAGTAATGTCTTTCTGTCGCCCTCAAAGTGCAAAGATTGGTAGTGACTGTACACACAGCAAAAAACAATGGGCTGAAGACACTGAAGCCTCCTCCCAGCACGTGATGTCAGACACAAAAACTCATAAGGCTTTTCAGGTTTCTGTATGCATAAACAGACTCTCAAAGCAGAGCTGCCTGATAGGACAGTATGCTGCACATGCAGCAATTAAGTATTCAGTTCAACACAGGAGCTATTATGATTTAGAAGGAACACACAAATCTCCCGTTTACCACAACTGGAGATTCGAGCTACTAACATGAAACTTTTTGCAAATTCCTTGTCAGAAGTTGAGTTCTACATGTATGAGTTATCCAAAGGTTCAACACAAAATCTAAAATACTGGTTCTCAGCATCAAATCATATTACCAGCCTACTGAAAGTCATCTTGTACCATGAAAACTCACTTAAGCCTTCTGTAGCCTACACCAAAATACTTAGTATAGAGGGGGCTCATACATCCAGAACACCTCTTCTTCATTCTAGAGAACAGAAAGCTGTTCTCAGGGCTGACAAACAAGTTAAACCTTAGGCTGTGGAAGAGCTTTCCTCAGGTGCCTCCTTGCAGAAACAGAAACAACTCGACATTGATTAATTATGCGGGCCTGAGGAAACATGCAGAGCACCCCAATGCAGTCTGTGAAGTTCTTGCCTATCCAAATTAAGCCAAGAACCACGTTAATAGGAAAAAAAAAAATCAAAAGCCTTTTTAGCATTTGTAATTTGGATTACAGTAGGGCGCCCACACAGCATGTTCGGTGCTTTCCAGACACTGAAGATGCCACACCTGCCTCACCAAAAAAGTTTATGGTTTACGTAGTTGCACAAGATGGTGCTTGTTTTGTTCAGGTAGATTGTAACTGTGTAAGTCTGCATTAAATTCAAGAAGGATCCAGGATCACACCTGTCTGATCAGAGTTCTTCTCATGCACGCAAACAGCGCTGCCAGAAAGGCCAGCAATATCTCCAGGAGATCTGAAGGGCTTCAAAAACTCCCTCTAAGAGTAGGGTACCTGCTCCACTGTAGCTCACAGCCCATATCTCTGCCCAGCAGCCCTGACAGCATGCAGGTATAAAATGGTGGTTCTTTGTGCTACCTTTCTAGCAGGTAAGCATTCATGCTACAGAAGTGATGGTCAATAAAGACCACCCACAAGCATTTAATATACTACATGTTTTGAGTCTACATCCCCTCCCACCCAGCACAAAAAGTTTTCCTCTAGCATTTTGCCAGTCTAAGAGCTTTATCTCCTCTGTAAGCAACCTCAGCTGCATGAAGAAAAAGAATGGATGAATGCTAAAACATGTCTGCCATGGGAGACCCCTTGATTCTGTAATTTTAACAGCTAGGACCACAGTCCATATGTAGTCAGTTTGATTTTTATTTTATAATTCCTACTTTGAGCAAGCAGGCACTGTTTTCCCAAGGGCACAGCCCTGCTCCAGAAGAGCCCCTTGGTCATTGTTGGAGACACTGCTGAGCTGGGCTGAGGGCTGTGAGCAATGTGCCCTAATGCCTGGTACCCACCCGGCCCACACAGGAATGTGATTCTCTGGTCTTTCCAGGGGAAGAGCAGCAAGGTAAATGTTCTGTCTTTAATGCCAAATGTCCTACAGCGACCATCAAAGTTCAAATCAAAGCCTGATGTCCCAACAAGACAGGATGCACACACAAACAGACTTTGCAAATAACAGAATCACTACTCACAGAACAGTGCTCAGTGCTCTATACACAGACACACAATGCAAGCAAACCTGGACTCAGGGAAAAAGCAAACCTGCAAATATGTGCAGCACCAGCAGGTTTCCAAGCTTCATCTAGAAAGTAGAGGAAAATAATTATCTTAGCTCTGAAATTTCTCAAAGCTTTTTCTTGATTTCTGTGTTCCCATTTGTTTCAGAACAGACTACATCCAAAGCAAATGGGACTGGAGACAGCTTATCAGTTATCTCCTCCCTTTTCCTTCATGAGAAGAAAGCTATTAAAAGCAGAACTAAAAGGAAAACAAACAAACCACCACAAACACAAAACCCCTGCTAAAAAAAAAAACAACAAAAAAACAACAACAACAAAACAAACAAACCCCCTTCCAAAACTCAAAGGAATCATCTATTATACAGGAAAAAGTTCATATTGACCAGATTGCAAATGGGATCTGTTGAATATAGAGTCAATACTAAGATAAGTAACATGAATATTAAGCAACAGTATTTGTATTTACCTACCATTTATTTACACTAAGTGAGTCTGCACAGTACCTATTCCAGCCAGTTTGAGTCCATGCCCTAAAGTTTCCACTTCAATGCAGCTCTCAGAGCATCTTTTTATGTCAAATGTTCTATCTGTATAAGGACACAAACCTCCTCCTTTAGCAAATACATTTACACAGGTGCTTGCAGAAACCACTTCCCAAACTGCTTTCTGCTTCTTCAGACTTGAAAAGAAAAAGGAAAGATAAGAGGTCAGAATGAAGTTAACTTTGCCAACAAAGCATATCTGTTCTTTTTCTCCACACCTCAACACCACTGCTGACAAACAACAAACACTGATTAAAGGGTTTTTAATGCCTGTGAAGGAAAGCAGACTCCCTGCAGCTGCACAGCAGCTGGGAACACTTGTGTTATTTAGCAGAAAAAGGTCTGACCCCACAAGTGAAAATGAGCTTGGTGGTCACTCATTCTATTCACCATCTGGGTACATTATAAGCACAAACAGAACAGCACAGCCTTTTGTGATGGAAGTAACGAGAAATGGCCAAGGCATTGTAGTACCACAGTAACATGCCTTAGCAAGGCTTCAGGGAAAAGAGGGAGCAAGGGACACAAATGATATGAACGTGAGAAAGTGGAAGTCTATTGAGAAACAAATCTAGAGTTCACTACAGATCAAAACAGAGGTGCCTCTGCTA